TTTTTTGAGATGGAGCCTTGCTCTGTTGCCCAGGCTGGAGTGCAATGGTGCAATCTCAGCTCACTGCAACCTCCACTTCCCGGGCTCAAGTGATTCTCCTGTCTCAACCTCCTGAGTAGCTGGGATTACAGGCATGCACCACTGCACCCAGCTAATTTTTGTATTTTTAGTAGAGGCGGGGTTTCACCATGTTGGCCAGGCTGGTCTTGAACTCCTGACCTCACGTGATCCACCTGCCTCGGCCTCCCAAAGTGCTGGGATTACAGGCATGAGCCACCACGCCCGGCCCAGCATTTCTAGATGCTAACAGTGAACAATCTAAAAAAGAAATTAAGAAAGTAATTTTGTTAACAATAGCTACAAATAAAGTACCCAGTAATTAACCAAAGAAGTGAAAGATCTCTATTATGAAAACTATAAAACATAGATGCAAAAAATTGAAGAGGCCCCCCCCTAAAAAATGAAAGATATTCCATGCTCATAGATTGGTAGAATGTCCGTACTACCCAAAGCAATCTACAGATTCAATGCAATGCCTATCAAAATACCAGTGACATTCTTCACAGAAATAGAAAAAGAATTCTGAAATTTACATGGAACCACAGAAGACCCAGGGCAGCCAAAGCTATCCTAGGCAAAAAGAATAAATCAGGAGGAATCATATTATCTGGTTTCAAATTATACCCAGAGCTATAGCAACCCAAATAGCATAGTACTGGCGTAAAAACAGTGGAACACAATAGAGAACCCAGAAATAAATTCATATGTCTACATTGATCTCATTTTTGACAAAAGAGCCAAGAATACACATTGCGGAAAAGACAATCTCTTCAATAAATGGTACTGGCAAAACTGGATATCCATATGCAGAAGAATAAAACTATACTCCTATCTCTCGCTGTTTACAAAAATCATGTCTAAATAAAGATTTTGAGACCTCAAACTATGAAACTACTACAAGAAAACATTGGAGAAACTTTCAAGGACATTGGAGTGGGCAAAGGTTTCCTGAACAATACCCCACAAGCGCAGGCAACCAAAGCAAAAATGGACAGATGGGATAACACCAAGTTTTAAAAGTTTCTGCAAAGCAAAAGACACAATCAATCAACAAAGTGAAGAGATAGGATAAAATATTTGCAAACTACCTATCTGACAAAGGATTAATCACCAGAATACATAAGGAACTCTAACAGCTCTATAGAAAAAAAATCTAATAATCCAATTAAAAATGGGTAAAATATCCGAATAGAAATTTCTCAAAGAAAGACATACAAATGGCAAACAAGTATGTGAAAAGGTGCTCAATATCATTGATTATCAGAGAAGTGCATATCAAAACTATAATAAGATTATCATCTCCAGTTAAAATAACTTTTTTTTTTTATATGGAGTTTTGCTCTTGTTGCCCAGGCTGGAATGCAATGGCACAATCTCAGCTCACCACCTCTGCCTCCTGAGTTCAAGCGATTATCCTGCCTCAGCCTCCTGAGTAGCTCGGATTACAGGCATGCACCACCACATCCAGCTAATTTTGTATTTTTAGTAGAGACGGAGTTTCTTCATGTTGGTCAGGCTGGTCTCAAACTCCCAACCTCAGGTGATCCACCTGCCATGGCCTCCCAAAGTGTTGGGATTACAGGTGTGAGCCTCTGCACCAGGCCAAAATGACTTTTATCCAAAAGACAGGCAATAAATCCTGGCCAGAATGTGGAAAAAGGGGGATCCTTGCACACTGTTAGTGCTAATATAAATTAGCACAACCACTCTGGAAAACAGTTTGAAAGTTCCTCAAAAAGCTAAAAATAGAGCTACCATACAATCTAGAAATTCTACCCCCAGATACATACTCAAAAGAAAATAAATCAATATGTTGAAGAGATATCTACACTCCCATGTTTATTGTAGAGCTCTTCACAATAGCCAAGACTTGGAAGCAACTTAAGTGTCCATCAACAGAGAAATGGATAAAGAAAATATGGTACATATACACAATAGAGTACTATTCAGCCATTAAAAAGAATGAGATTCTGTCATTTGCAGCAACATGGATGGAACTGGAGGTCATTATGTTAAGTGAAATAAACCAGGTACAGAAAGAGAAACTGCATGTTCTCACTTATTTGTAGGGGCTAAAAATTGAAACAATTGAACTCATGGGGATAGAAAGTGTAAGGATGGTTACCAAAGACTGGGAAGCATAGTGAAGGGTGAGGAGGAATGGGGGATGGTCAATGAGTACCAAAAAATAGAAAGAATGATGAAGTTCTAGTATTTGCTAGCAAAACAGGGTAACTATAGTAAAAAATAATTTTTTTTTTTTTTTTTTTTTTTTT